CCTATTTAAACAGTCCAAGAAATGGAGAGGCATCTAAGGGTGGGGGAAAGGAAGGTGAATGGCCAGGAGAGACCAGCCCCTTCCTGGCTACAGCACCAGTAATGAGGTCAGTGGACCCTCACAACTATAAAATCTACCAGACACCCCCCAATTCCAAAGAAATGCCTGTCCTCGAATGCAGTTTCTGCCAGACACATTTCTACATAGAACATCATCACCTATTTTAATGGATAGCTCTAGAGTAGACGGGTTAGCATCCTCCCTGGTACCCCCACTGGCAGTTCAGCAGCCCTCTGCAGCCCCCCAGGTTCTCCTTGGAGCAGCAGAGCTAAGCTGTGGTTGAGGAAAGGCGGGATGAAGGACACAGCTGTGCTCAAACCACTCTCAGACTTCCTCTGAGCAGACTCTGCAGTCACAGAGGCCCTTACTTAAGAACTCTCATCTATCACTGTTTGTGGGTATTAGTGGCTTTCTTCATCGTGAAGATTTTCAAGACATGAGTGGAGACTATAAGCCTTATTCCATCACTTACTGATTCACTAGTCCGAGCAGTAGATCTTTGTGCGAAATGGGATCACTAACGTTAACTTTTATAGATCGCAGACTGGAGATGAAGGCCCGCGCTTGAATTTGGATAATACAATGCCCAACAAGCATAAAAATTTCATTTTTTTTTGGACGGTTTAGTATTACTTGCCTCTCTGATGTCTGATCTACTTCAAAGCATTTAGGAAAATCTGTACACAGAAAGGACTAGGGAGCCATTCTGTATTCTATTTGATTATTTTGCCATTAAACTAAAAAGCTTCTTGCCGACATATCTTTAGGGACAATTACCAAGTTAACTTTCTCCTTTCCCATAGCCATGGGAAACACACCCAACACAGTGCTATGAACGACCTAAGTTAGCAGACTGGTGAAGTTGCCGCCAACCTTTTTATCATTTCCAGTGTCCCTAAACTCACACACTTGGACCAAAAAGAGCGAGCTGACTGAGAACACACGTGGCAAGTTCCCAAGAAAACTCCTGGACCGTCAGCAGGGATATGGATCTCCAATCTCAGTCCTGGAGCAGAATGCTCTACTGTACAACAATAAAGTAGTTTTTGAAAAGATAAATCTTTCAAAATATTTATCTGCCTCTCTAGCCTCCAACTCCACCCGTTCAAGCCCTATCCGTCCTTCTACTTTCTGCACAATTGCCACTTTTGGCATTAGAACTTCCCAGAAACCATACCCTCCCTAGGAGTAACCTCTGGGAGAAAGAAGTGAACGCCCAGTGGCATTCGGTCTCTATGGCCCCCTCGTATCTTGTTTTCTACCTTGTATGGTTTTACTTCTTTTTGAAGCAACATGAGCATACGACCTGTGGGTTTTCTCTTCCTCTAGTGCCTAGCATCTTGCACCTACACTGTGTGTGTATACATATGTGTGTGTGTCCTGGGAGGGCATGTGGATACACACCAAGATTTACTGAGCACCTCTCATGACCCAGGCACTGGGTTTTACCTACACTGTTGCTTTTTATCTTTCCAACGTCTCTAGGAAATAGTCATTATCACTCCCATTTTGCAGATTTTAGAAAAATTGAAAAGTCATGGGGCCGGCCTGGCGGCACAGCAGTTAAGTTTGCATGTTCCACTTTGGCGGCCCGGAGTTCGCCGGTTCGGATCCCAGGTGCAGACCTAAGCACTGCTTGGCATGCCATGCTGTGGTAGGCATCCTACATATAAAGCAGAGGAAGATGGGCACGGATGTTAGCTCAGGGCCAGTCTTCCTCAGCAAAAAGAGGAGGATTGGCAGCAGATGTTAGCTCAGGGCTAATCTTCCTGAAAAATAAATAAATAGAAGGTTTATCTTATGAAAAAAAAAAAAGAAAGAAAAACTGGAAATTCAGAGAGGTTAGGGCTTTGCCAAAATCAGAGCTCGTAAATGGCAGAGCTGAGTTTCAAACCCAGGTCTGACTGATTCTAAGAGCCAGCGCACTTACAAAGTTAACATCCACTAAGTACTCAATAAATCATTTTGTGAGCGGCATCTGTACGAACGGCACAGTGCTGAGAACTACTGGGAATTAAGATGCTTTAAGTTCAGCAACTGTGAGTAACTATCCTACAAAGCAGACATAGAGAAGGCCAAGAGAAGAGTTCGCATCAATGCTAAGGATGTTCAGAGGAGTGTCACGTCACTTTTTTTGGAGATGGCATGAGCGACCAGAGAGGGGTGGGAACAGAATTAAGACCATCATGAAAAAGATGGAACTGAGCCGCTGCCTGTGTTTGGACACGCAGAGATGAGAGGTAATAATATGTTAGAGATGAAACTGGGCTCACCCTAGAATTCTTCCTAAGGCAGGAAAGTGGACTGACAAATTACATTCAATAAGACTGTATCCTTGATAGCAAAGACAACTTAACAGACCTGTTTTTCACGCAACAACATTCATTTTGGAAATATTCAATAAATATTTACTGACAGAGAAAGGATAGGAAAGGAGCAAAAGGGGTATGAGGTTTATAGTATTCCTTAGCATATTTAATTAGCTCAAACACACTGTTCCACATGCAGTCTGGTTTTACAATACATGTTAATTAAATCCTCTTCCAGTCATTAACAATCTTTCCTTAAGTTGTGTGTGTTCTCCACCCAATCACAAGTCTTTATGTCTACTTCGTATTCACAACGACTAGCCCAAATCACAATCATATCGGTTTTACTCCCAGAACTAAGTATAAATGCATTTTAATCTATTTATCTGTCCATCAAAGGATTTTCCTTTGGGAAACAGCCGTGTTAAAAAAAAAAAAAAAAAAGGCAAAATTAACAAAAGGTACGCAACTACTTAAAAGAGAAAAGAGGAGACATCTACACGCAAACAGAAATAGAAATAGAAAGGCAAATTTAACTGTTACAATAAAATGTCAGATCCGTTTCTGAAGGAAAATGAACGTTCCTCTAATAAATGTGTTCGCAGAGAAAATTAGCCAGCTGCATTATGCCTAAAGCAATGAAAACCTGTTTCCTCCTTTCCTTCTTGTCCTTTTGAAAAGACAACATGTCACAGTGAGACTTTTTTTTATAACAGCATCCATTCTTGAGACAAATGTTTGCCAAGGGTGTGGGGGGGGGGGGAGGTGAGGAAAGGAATAAAAAGGCAAAGAAAGCAGAGAAGAGAGAGGAAACAGTCAGACGCCATCTGCCGACAAAAGGGAGAAAAAAGAGAAATCTGAGAGCACCACCTTCAGACCAGTGTTTGAGGAAACACAACAAATCAGCTTTTCCTTCATCCTCATGAAATAGAACATCTCACTATGAAAATATGTGGAATACGATTTTTTTTACTTTTGTCTATTTCACATTCTGAAAATTACTATTACTACTAAATCAAATTATAAAGACTACCATTCCCCAAATGCTGACAGAATTACACTCAAAACTATTTTGTGCATCATAGTAGTATAACACTGAATGAAACAGAAATATCCCAGTAACATAGGTCAGCTTATCCAGGCAGAGCCAGTCAAGGGATGATTTCTATGGCTGCAAGCAGTTATCTAAGTTTTAAGCAAACTTGGGACAGAGGAAGACTATAGAATTACTAAAGGATGATCTTTCATAATCAAAATTTTGTTGCTTTTTTTGATCTTCTCCAAAACACTGTGCCCTTGATTAGTATGATTTTTTATTATCTACAAATAGAATTCTGGACATTATCCACCACGGATTACAAGCTATCCAAGCAATATATCAATTACTCATTCTATGTTACAAAAAGGCATATAAGCTTATAAGAAGTAAAAGCTCAGTGGCTGTGAATGAAATCAAACTAAGTCTAGAGCTGAAAAGAAAGGCAGGAGAAAGGGACAGAGGGATTTATTCGCATATACATCTTTAAGAAATTGTAACACATTGGTTTTCTTTTCTCTTTTTCCCATTAACTTGGTCTCTCCCACCCCCACCCCAACCCCATCTCTCTGTCTCTCTCTCTCTCTCTCTCTCTCTCACACACACACACACACGTTTCCATTTCAAATACACCCAAAGTCCCACTTGAGTTAAAAGATCTCAGCTTTCCAGGCAGTGTCTTTCAATATCCCTATTTTCAGTATGTGGCATTTCTTAGCATTTAACTTAAGAAGAACTATTTGTACATGCAGCACCTGAAGAGCAGCTACCCATCACTGTGGTTTTAGCCTGTTGTATGTTCTCCTTTCACAGTATCTGAGGTTTGTTAGTTCACAACACTGATATTTTCAGGCATTTAACCTCCAAAAATACATTGTTTTCAGTGATTTATTAGGTCTATGTTGCTTTCTATTGTTTTGCATTTAACAGCATTAAAGAAAGGCTGATACTCTGTTACCGAATTATGACGCTTTGTTTTTTACTGCGGTCTTAAACTCTCCCTGTGCCACAGCTACAAAACAGCTCAAGGAAAGCGAATGAGGAGCCGTGGGACAGAAAACAGAATGCCTTCTCAGGTCACGCTGTGGTGACTCAGGCACTCCTTGAAGCAATTATGACAATTCCTAATTGAATTGAGCATTGTGTTAGTATAAATAGATGTCAGCTTGAGGGCTCAGGATCACTCAGTTTTTTCCCATTGAAATTATTTAATTATGGACAACTTTAAAAAATTTGTCCTACACAAAGGATTCTCAGAACAAATAATCCATATAAAATGGGGGCTCACTTATAAAACATTTTGGAGGGAAAAAAAGAAATGTGGATAGACCCTACTATATTTTCACAGAAGAAAAATGCACTCAGGGCTTGGTGATCTATGCAATCGCCACGCTTTAGAAATTATAACCTTCAAGCACCGGGTTCCTCTGAAGTGCTCAAATGGAGGGCCACAAAAAGGTTAAGGGCAAGGTACTGGTGACATAAATTTACAGAAAAGATCCTTCATTAGGAGAGGACACACGGTGTGCTGCTAAGAGGACTGGATTAGAAGTCAGAAAAACCTGATTCTTATTCCCAGTCCTAACACTACTAACCTGGAATTTTCATCCCAGCATCCCGGCTTCCTCCTCTACAAAGGGAGAGGTCTGATGTTCTCTCTAAGTCCTTCCGGCCCTGTATTTCTATCAGTCTTAGGAGCCAAAAAAACAAACACACAGAAAACCCATATCTATTAATTGAGAATAGGATTCTAGACAGCGTCATTGTGACTTACGACTATTGAATCATGCATTAATGAGAAAAAATAGGCTCAGTTCAAACCACTATGCTGAATTTTGTTTATCAATTCCATGGATGTCTTCATATTTTTGCTATGTATTCCTGCATCCATAGGAGTTAAATGGTGGTGTCTTCATGCTCTTGTCTCTTTATGCACATGTTTCAAGTCTCTCAGGAGACATATGCCTGGAAGCGGAAAGGCTAGATGTAGGGTTTGCTCATATTAAACCCTACTACAGAGCCTCAATCCCACATCTCTTGCCCAGAACAGCTTCTTGTGTTGGAATCTACTCTTAATTCCAATTCCTGTTGGTTTCTGATCCACTTGTAGTTTTGTTCTTCATAGTTAACACTCAACTCAGCTTCTACCATATGACTCTGACTCTCGCTTTGACTAGGGATCATTAAGTTCTACTCTAGCTATGCCGTATCAATCAAACCCAGCCTTGGGACCACTTTAGCCAGATGCAGGCTGTGCACAGTGTGTGGATGGCACACCCACAGATACCCACATCTCCAAATTTCAAAGGTCGCCCCTCGATGCTTCAAAAGTCAACAAACATTTGTGGAGTCTTTACTCTGTGCAATGCACAGACCTAACATATTTTTTGCAGAGTCTGAGTATCATTTGATTTCCCTACATAGTCTCAATGAGTGCTACCCACCAAGAGGCCTCCATTTCCAGACTGCAATTAGCCAGCTGCCATGAGAAACCCCCATCTGAAGTTAGGTGACATTTCCAGATGAGAGGAGAAAGGGAGCAGGCACGCATATGACGAGTAGGCAGCCTTCCTGTCCCCACCTCCCACCCTGTTTCAAGGCATATTTTGGATTTAGGGAGATGAAGAGATTTCCCACACAGCAGTGAGGATGCTGGATCTGGTTCTATTAAGTGTCACCCTTCTCACGCTGCAGGGCCACTATAGACACACACAGTCAGCCGCTACTTGTTACATCATGACCCTGGCAAATCGTTTAGTTTCTAAAACCATCTAGAATCTTCAGTCTCTGACTCTTAGTTACTTTATCTGTAAATGGGAAGGAAGCGATACCTACCTGCCAGGTTTTTATGAAGATTAAATGAGAATGAGCAAAATGTTCATATGCACTGGGGTCTTGGATAGGGCTCCTTGCAGAGGGCTTAAGAGGACAAAACCAGGAAGAAACACAGGTCAAAGTCACCATAAGGCAGATGTCCCTCAACATAAGGAAAAATGTTATAATAATTAGAGCAACTCAAAGACAGAAGGAGCAGTCAGTTATCCAAGTTCAAGCAGGGGGTTGTAAGGCCACTCAATCAATGCTCTTTCACAAACCTTCTGTCTTCTATAGGAAGAATTACCCTAGTTCAAATAGGAGAAAATACTGCGCTTACTTATTTCTCTAAATTTTAAATCTGTTCAAAAATCTCTCCAGATGTCTCCTGATTCAAAGGACTAAGGCTGAACTGTCAAACAAGCCATCACACAGCGATGCCTGCAGCAGAGCTCCGCCCCCACCTCATTTCTGGGCTGGCTGCACACTTTCCACTGTCGGCCTGTCGCTGCATCTCTCTGCTGGGGGGCTGTGCCATGCACGTGGCCACGGGGCTCACACGGCAGGGAGAGTATCAGAAATTAATGCCAGTACCCTCCTGCAGCCCTCCATAGGGGCTGACCAGAGGTGCTGGGTAAACAACACAGTTTCTACATCCCTCTGACGGGACACGCTGAGGGATGTTCTTTACACCGGCTCCCAGAGCCTCCAGCAATGGTGGGCTCCAAGTGCCCACAGTGGTGACCTGCTCGATGGCACACTACTGGTGCTTCCCTGCTCACTTCTCACTCGCCTCAGGGTGTTTCTTTCACCTTCTAAATAAACTATGTGCACTGGCATCCATGTTTCTCTCAGGGGAATTCAATCCAGGAAAACACCTCATATTCTGACGACCTAAAGATATATACATGTATTACAAAGCACCAAAGATTCTTGTCTCAGTTTCTTCTTAAATCTTCTATTGATAAATAAACTTTAGATTCTCAGTTTTATCACAGGATTAGCAGCATACCATATACAGATATTTATACAATAAAATATTGAGATAAAATGTCAGCGGTATTTTTGTAAAGATTAAAGAGCCCACTAGACTCATAAAAGTAATTAAGAAGAGCACTTGCAGGAATTTTTTTCAATTCTGATAGGGAGTGAGTTATTTCTAAGTCAAAAAGACAAAAATCACTTTGATATAATGACAAAAATTCTAAAGCACAATTTTACTACATGGGGTAGTTCAGTCCCACAAACAATTCCTGAAGACCTACTATGTTCCAGATATTGGGCTCGGCCCCACCTGGAATACAAGATGAAGACAACTCAGGCCCTGTCTCTAAGGAAGTCACTGTCTAGAAAGGAGACAGACACATAAGTCAATAATTACATCAGAGGAGAAGAAGTACGATGACTAAACTGTGGACAAAGACGCTAGAGGAGAAGGGTCAAATAAGATGTCACAAGCAGGTGTTGTCTGAACAAGGCCCAGGAGAGCTGATTAGTCATTCCAGGAGTGAGAGAGAGCATACAGGTAGAGGGACCAGCCTGTGAGAAAGCAGCTGTGTGTGCATCCACCCCTGGCTCCAGTTCAATAGAAAAAAAATTAACAGTCATATGCAAAAAAAAACCAAACCATCTTTTTCTCCAAATTGTAAAATCCTCACAATTACTTGAAAAAAATTAGAGAAATTTCTTGCATCAGATAAAGCCTGTAAAATACTAGGCGCTCATGTATTACCCTTGAGACATAAATAAGAGGAAAATCATCTGACTCAAAATATAGTTACTGGCTACATACCATATGACTCCAACTTTATGACATTCTGGAAAAGGCAAAACTATGGATACAGTTAAAAGATCAGTGGTTGCCAAGGCTGGGGGTGTGGAGGGGGATGAATATGGGGAGCACAGGAGATTTTTAGGGCAGTTAAAATACTCCTTATGATACTATAACAATAGATACATGTCATTATAAATTTGTCCAAACCCACAGAATATATAACACCAAGACTTTGGATAATTATGCTGTGCCAATGCAGTTCATTAATTCTAACAAATGTACCACTTTAGGGGGGATGTTGATATGGGAGGTATATGGGAAATCTCTTTATCTTCCTCTCAATTTTACTGTGAACCTAACACTGCTCTAAAAGGCAAATTTATATATATATACGTTTATCATAAGTGTTCCTTATTACTTGTTAAAAGCCCTCAGGTAAGCCATGGGAAAAAACCTCCCTACTTTTAGAAATTAGACTTACTCTGTCATCTTTGGCATTTTCGGTTTAATTTAAGCTTATTCTCAGAGTTCCAACGGACAGTGATGCTACTGCCTGTTTACCGAGGCAAATCTTCTCTTTTTAACTCTTTACAGGAGATGAGAGGCTGCAATAGGACTAGAGCCTTTGGAAATCGGGTCCCAGAGTTTGACATTATAGGAATTTTCTTGACTTATTTAATAGAAACACAGTGATGCTGCAGCCTCATGGTTTTTATCTTCTTGGCTGTCAGGAAGCAAACTTAATATCCTTACATTCCGAGGTCAGATGCACAGCTTTCATTCTGAAAGTAACACCTTCAAAAGCAGACGCGGAGACAGAAAGCTCCGCATGGAAGAGATGCACAGCACTGTTTCATTCTAAGACTGTAGACAGTATTTCATAAAAACGTAAGAGAAACACTCAAGATTAACTCCACAAAAATCTATGATAGGTGACATTCTGACACTTAATAAATAAAACAGAAAAAGAACTCACAACAATAAAAGGATCCAATTGCATTTAGCAATCAATGAGCAAAGGTCTGCTGACTTCACCACGAAACAAAGAAAATCTAAATTAAAGCAAAATAATTTGGACCCTAATGATGTCAATACTCCGGGGCTTTGTAAAAAAAAAATTCCAAAAATCATTCTTTCCAAACTCGTAACTCCATAAAAAACAGCCAAGTGTTACCTGTGGCAGCTAATGAGCACTTCCTGATGCGCTCAAGGCAGCTTCCAGCCTACAAAATATGGCAAAAACTGCCATGTTGTCTGTTGAGGTGTTAATCTGTTCACTGCATAGGTGCCATGCAGAGGTAACCCACTTTCTGCATTCTCTTGCCAAGACAGCTTACTATAACTCATTCTTAGCCACAAAAACAAAATGAATTTTCAGAACAATCCTGTTCTGGGTTCCTGCTTTCCTCCGCAGCTCCCCTTTTATTGAGCACCATCTATGCCTCCTCGGGTACTCCCTCTTTCGCTCATTTTACCTATCCCAAACCTTGGCAGGAAGTCAAACATCAACTCTTTTGCTCTTATCCCATTCCAATCTGGAGAGATCACTAAAATGTCTTGAAAGTAAGTAATTTCCACTAAGAACCTACTAGAGGCACTTTAAGAGACCTTGGCCCCAGCGTCCTCACTTCTTAGCTGTTTGGCCTTTGGCAAGAGACTTAAGTCCAAGTCCTAGTTGCATCAACCAACAAATGAGGCAACAGAATTAGATGATGTCCAAGGGCCTTTTGAACATTCAAGTTTTGCTTCTACGAAATATACAGAAGCAGGCATGCCCTGAACTTTAGAGAATATGGCCCAGCAAATGCGAGCTACGGGACACCAAGAAAAGCCCCATGTTGTCAGATTCAAATCTTGCATCTTCTCAGGAAGTCAGCCTCCTCGACAGCAATTTCCAAGACCATTATTAACTGCTTAATAAAAGAATCATGAAGTCGGTCCAGAGGACATTAAATAAAAAAAGACAATTTCCATTTTCAAATAAGTTTTAGAAACTGAGTTAAACAAATTTAAATAGATTTCTTAACATCTTAGGCTTTTAAAATGCTAAGCGTGCACTGTGAATTTTCAAGAGAGATATTACAACACAGCAGTTTTCCAAACTTATTTGCCACAGAATCCTTTTTTATACAGCAAATCCTGCAGTCCAGTGTTCCCAGGAATACACGCAGAGATTGCTGTTCTACCCAATTAAGTGTCCACTCTGAGATGACAAAAATGAATGGACTTGAACCATTACCCGGGGCACCACCAGGAACCTTGGCAGCAAGTCAAGATCCCTGTCTTTTCTGCAGGTTGTGCTGCCAAGTAGCTGTTTGCACTGGACCCAGTTTACCAGCCGCCCCAGATCCGCTGGGCCCCACCTGCCCTCCAGGCATCAGTTGCCAGCCTGCCCACTCCTCCCAAGCCCTGAGCAGTGAGGCACACAGCCATCTCAGGTCTCTGTTCTATGTCTAAATTTTGCGGAAATGCTGGCTGCAGGGGTTGCCTCCATGTGACAATCCAAATAACTTATAACCTTCATCCTAATTTCTACATTATCACATAATGCATATGGGGAATGTGAGAGTGGTAAGCAGAATTCTAAAAAATCCCAAATTTTCTTGAAACTTTCTTCAGCGGAGAATAGTAGCTAAAGAAAATGAACCATAAAATCTCTCCTCAAACTACTCTCTTTTCACAGAAATGTCCTAATTAGCAAACGACAATTAAGCAAATACTGGAAATCAGAGGAACAACACAGGTTTCCCTGAAATTAAAAAAAAAGTTTTTCTGATAAGTATTATTGACTGAAAAACAGTTAACATGTTTGTCACTTTCAAAAAGCCACAAATGAGTTTCTCTGAAAAACCCAACGTCTTTTTTAAAAATCCACAAATTTGGGGCTCTGCCAAAGCGTGAATGTTACAAAACCATGTGGCACATGCCCTCCTTTACATTTCGTATTAATTACTAAAGCGAGGATTAAGCTTTTGGCGATCTGAAGTCAGAAAGATCAAATATGGATTCAAATGCTGGCTCCGGCTGGCTGTGTGTGGGCAAGGTACTTAACTTTTATTTAACCTCAGTCGCCCAATCCATTAAATGAGAACCGGAATACCTACCTAGCTCACAGGACGGTTGGGAGTTCTAAACAAGACAGAACTGAATCTGCCTAGCAGATTAGAGACCTACATTAGTTAGAATCAGGTTTGGCTGAGAGTGAAAGGAAGCCCAAAGTATCAGCGGCTTAACCAAGAGAAGCGTCTGTCCTTCTCAGGAAAAAGTCGGGGAAGGCAAGTGTGATATCCCATTTGTTCTGCTGCTCCAACACATGTGACCTCCACTTCAT